TCTCCACATTTGTAAAGGAAGAGGCAACCTCTTCTCTTTTATTTCCTGTACTTCTCCCTTTTAAATCAAAGAACCAGAAAGAGGGAGGAGAGCAGGTTAATGAGAGTTGGCATGTGCTGTTATTTAAAGTTATTCCCAGCTGTTATTTAAAAGTGAAATTCAGCTTTTCCTTCCCATCATCTAGAAAAGGGGTCAAGTTCAGATGTTTTAGTCCATGGGTTGGGTGGCTTCTGAATAGGGGCTATAATCATTGCAGAAATCTGTCATGCATGCAGAATTATGAACTACCACGTGCTTGTCTTTCTAGCCAGCATGCGCATGTAATAGCTAATGGTAACTTAATGCAAATCCCAGTTCCAGAACATGCAAAGATTTGGGCGTTTCCTCTGTATGCCTGTCTTTGTTTTTGGTGCCTTGGTATCTTCTGCGCTCCTGGCTAAAATTCAGCGTGTAGGGGAAGTAGAGCTCTACCTAGAAATTCATTGAGGTTATTTGTGATGCATATTCTTAATCTGGATGAGATGTAGCTCTTTTGGGTTTTGCCTACAAGGAAAGAAAATCACCACTATAAAAAAAAATATTTTTTTAACTGTACACACTAACTATGTTCAGTTTATTAGCTAGTGGGGTTCAACTTTTCAAAAGACCAGAGCTGTTTCTCCATTTGCATTTGCAGGTTTGTATATACAGATTCAGATTCTTTGTTTCATACACAAATGACTTCATGAACAAAACCTTGGACACAAATTATGGAGGGTTTTTTAAAAAAAATCTGTCTCTGTGTTTTCTGAATGGAAAATACAAAACGCAGTCAGACCATGTACAGCCCAATACAGTACTGAGTTGTGTTGAGTAAATTCAGCATTTGCATGAACTTGGTTTTAACCTGTTAATATGATTTCAGGGAAATAAAGGTATGATAGGATTGACAAATTCGTCGGATTACTCAAATGGAATATCCCCATATCAGCTTCCCATCATGAACAATTATGTGATACCAGTGCCACCCCCACCCCAAAAAGGAGATAAGAATGGAAAGTCTGTGAGACAGGGGGCAGCCAGAGGGAGACTATTTCGTCCCACCACTGCACCAAATGGCTTAGAGCAACTTTTAACAAAGGTACTTTTTGTCTTTTTGGTATTTATATTATGTGCCTTAGAGAACCTCACTTTCAACTGTGTATATGAAGAGACTGGATATTGTAGCTGAAGTGACTGGACCCATATTGACCCTATTGGTAGCAAGAAAAAAAAAAGGTATAATGGTTATATTAGGTATCTGGTTCCACATACACTAAAATATTTAGAGTTTTTAAATCTAGTTAAAAAATATTGGTGTTTGAAAACAGGGGCACAGAAATTGTCATATTGAAATGGACTCAAGGTCCATCTAATCCAGCTGCCTGTTTCTGGACAAAGTGAAGCTGCTGTAAAGAACCTGGAGTAGGCAGTTATGGCTACAAAACCTGATGAAGCTATTCAACTTTTGCTTGAAGAAAAGTAGAGTACACTAAAATGAACTTGGCCCTTCTTAACTGTGATTGTCAAAATGGACTACAGTAATGTAGCTTTGCACTTCATGACAAACTTACTGAAGTCAGTTTACTCATCAGATGTCAACTTAAAAGAGTAACAGGGGCAGTTTTATGCAGATCTCAACCACCTGTGGACCAACTTGTGCTGTGTTAATGCTGATAAAGAGCAGGGAGGTGAAAGCACTGCTAACAAAACACAACAGTATAGTAGGTACAACATTTTTAGGAGCTACTCTGCATTGAACAGAATATTGCCAAGGGTGAACTACATGGCTTTACACAACCTGGGCATGTTGATGCCTTTAACACAGTGCTGACTTGGGAAAAAGTAGAAACCTGTTGCATTGCTGAGAAATGGTGCAACACCTGGATCAGATGCAATACTCAGAGAAGTTTAAAAAGTTGGATGCAAGATCCTAGCTGGGCACTTATATCAGTTCTTTTCCTGAATATGGAAAAGGAGCATTCCCTCAGAGACCCAGCCATTTTTTAAATCTACATGGGCAAAGTTGAGAAATAAAAATGTGGTAATTATCAGGTGATCTCTCTCTCTTGGCCACAGGTGGTAAGACTATTCTGGATCCTCTTCAACCCTTTGCTCTTGCACATGATGGATAGGAAAATCCTGGAGAGAGTTTCACAGTCAGCTAGCTAGAGAATGGTAGGTACATATTAGTTCCCAGGAACAAAACCAACATTTCTATTTGGCTTTCACTGACATCCCCAAAGCTTTGGCCAGATCAGCAGATCTGGATTTTGGGCCAACTATAAAACAGAAAAATATGATGTCCAGCACCAGGTAGCCCTGGAAAGAAGCTATGCAAAACTTTTGAATAACCTCGGGTGGAAATGAACTGCCTGTCATTCATGAATTCATCTCTCTTGGAAGTGTCCTGACTAGCTGTGCCTGAATTAATGAGGGTGAGCTCTCATGTCTGTAAAGGTAGTGTGGCCTTTGGCAGACTCACTGAAGAAGAACAGTCTACAGGGCAGTGCTACTATTGACTGCTACATAGACGTGGGATTTGGAAAGTATGAAGAAGGCCTGTCCAGCAGCTAGAGACACTGTAGCAGAGATTCCAGTGAATCTGACTTCGCCTTAACTGGTATGACAGACTGAGGTTGTGCAGCATGCTGATTGCATAAATATTGAACATTAATTGTAAGGGCTCAGTGCCACTGGCCACATGGTACAGGAGAATGATAAGCAAATACCCCAGAAAAGGGGCTGTCAGCCTATAGCCTGTGGGCCAGAGCCAATCCATGAAGAGATGGGTAGGTGTGGAGGGATGTGGGGGGCATACAGGTCAGTGTGTGGGGGGGCTGTGGGTGTAGGGGCTGCTTAGGAGGGGTCAGTCCCCTGCTCCCAACAGAGCAGAGCCCTCCCACAGCGCATGGACTGCCGTGCCTTCAGGGTCCCAGCACCTCCCAGCCCCCCTGCTGGTCTCCAGGCCCCTGCTTGTTCTCCTGCGCATTCCTCTGCTTGTCTTCAGCCTCCCAAGGCTGGAGATGAGCAGAAGAACAAGCAGGAGGCTGGAGACAGCCGGGGAATGTCTCCAGCTCATCTCCAGGCGCTTGTCTCCAGCCTCCTGCTTGTTCTTCTGCTCATCTTCAGCCTCGGGAGGCTGGAGACAAGCCGGGGGGGGGCATCTCCAGCTTCTCTCTAGCCCCCTGCTCATTCTCCTGCTCAGTCTCCAGTCCTCTGGAGGCTGGAGATGAGCAAGAGAATGACCAGGAGGTGAAAACAAGTAGGGGAGTGATCAAGAGCCCAGAGATGATTCAGGGATTTCCCTGGTTGGCTCTAGGCTTCCTCTCTCAGTTGCTGCCCCACCCCCCCATTGCTCCCCCACCTGGCTTCAGCCTCTTGCACCATCCACAGCTTACCAGCAGCAGCAGTTGGGGTGGCTCAGGGCCTCATGGCACAGCCCCCTTGCATGGCATGCGGCTGCCAGGGGCAGCGGGGCTTGACCTTGGCCACCTGGCCCCAGTGGTGCAGCTTCCATGTTGTGCGGGTGTGGCCTGGCTCAGCTGGGGGCTGTGCGCTGTCTGGCAGCTCGGGTGTGCTGCAGCTGTCACCCGGGGTTTGGCACCGCTCAGCCCAAGTAGCCAGGAGCTCTGAGACAGTGCACAGTACCCTGCTGAGCCAGGCTGCGCCCATGAGATACAGCAGCATGGGTGCCAGGAAGCTGGGGCCAAGCCCCACTGCCCCCCCATGGAGGAGGGGACTGTGCCATGAAGCCCCGGACAGCCCCAACCACTACTGCTACTGCTGGTGAGAGTGGTGGGGCTGGGGCCGGGCGGGAGAGTGATCGGGGTGGGGGGAATGAATAGGGGCTGAGATCGGGTGGACCACTCTCCATGGTCCCCTCCCCACCTCCTCCAGCCCTCCAACCCCCTTATTTACCTGCCACAAAGCCAGATCCAGGTCCTTGCAGCTTGCCCCATTGCCTGCCCTGCACAGGCAGGTAGCATGCTTCAGCACTGGGGCAAGGGCCAGCCATAGAGATGCTCTGCCTGGCTACCAGAGCATCTCCATGGAGGACCAAGCCTCCGGTTGCCTCAGGGCATGGTCTGGGACCATGCCCTGTCTTGCTTTTCCCCACAGGGTATTTTTTGACAGGGGTCTAATTTTGCCCCCACATCGCAAATTTGCAGTGTGGGAAACATTTTTTGTTCCCACACATGCCTCTTGCAGTGTCTCAAAGGGGTTTGAGACACTGTAAGAGGCACATGCTCGCTCATCTGGACACGCCCTTTGAGTGCTGCCATACTGAAGCACCAAGGCAAAGGTAGGTATGGTGCATTTTGAACAGTGACAACATCCTTGTAGGCTAGAAAAGCATACAAGGAGACAGGAATGATGACAGCAGCAGCCTGGCTTACAGGGCGGATGAACATGTGAGCTTTGTGGAAGAGAATTTGTCACACATTAACCTTCTCAGTCACCTATGCACCCACTGCATCTGATGTGTGTCTTTGATGCCCTAATATTGTCTGTGACTATGAGGGATGTGTAATGAGACAGGAGTGTGGAATCTGCTTCCCACATAGCATGTTTGCTGGCAGTAACTTATGACTCCAAATAATCCATATGAATGAATGTTCAATCTCTTTTTGCATCTTAAGCTCTTGGACTCAGTGAACTCCTATGGGAATGAGTTCCACATGCTACATGTTTGTTGGTAGCAGGGAGCCAGAAAAGGAGATACCCTGTCACCTTCACTCCTAGCTGCTAATGTAGAGGTGCAGCCAAGGTCAAGGGTGGGGTTCTGTGTTGTTGGGTATCATGAAGGAACCCTTGTATTGCTTTGATTTGTGCTAAATTCAGTGGGAAGGATACAGAGTTTTCTTAAAGCCACCACTGTGTGCCTCCCTTTCGAACAGCTTGGAATGTGTCCCAGCTGCAGTTCACGGCTTGTTCTGGCCGGCACTAAAAGTGGGGTCAGCCTCCTAGACGGGAGAGGAGCAAGGACAGCAGAACAGGCCCAATATTGGTGGACATCTGCTGTGTAGCCTCAGTCCTATGTGCCAGAGTAACAGTGGTAATTCCAGCTGGATCTTTACTTTGGCAAGTGTAATAAAAGCATAATCTTGCCCTAAATGTTTCTTTTTTAAAGCGTAACAAGATATTCCATTGTTTTCAATTGAATGCAGCAGCCAGAGCTTTCCAACAGCTGAATTAATTTGATACATTCTTTTAATATATTAATATCTAGACAGGCATTGATTCAGCAGTGCCTGAAATCATCCCGTGGAAGTGATCCAAATGAAAAACTAGGAAAGGAATTAATTTCTTTTTTTTCTGTCTTTTTTTTTTTTTTTTTTGCAGTTGTAGCTATATATACTTAAGAAAACCATGCT